TATTATATATATATATATATATATATATATATATATATATATATATATATATATATATATATATATATATATATATATATATATATATATATATATATATATATATATATATATATATATATATATATATATATATATATATAGTGTAATATAGGCCGTTCTGATATCCAAAAGGTCGCTCCTAAGGTAACAAACTATATACAATCTATATTCAAACAGGCACGGTGCTGGTATCCTCCCCCTTTTTGTATACGTAAAACGAATAGAAATAGAACACTTTGCACACCTATATTTCCATTGGCTGCTGCAAAATGCAATGCAGTACTCCCGTGGTCATTTATAGCCGACACCTTCATGCCCTTCGCCAGGTAGTCTGTCAATTCTGGCACTTCACTATAACGCGCGCACAAGACGAAGTCATTGATGTGTTCTTGAGTGAATTCTGAGGCTGGCATCTTGCAGTACTATGTCGCTGTAGATTAATTACACAAATATCAGAATAGTATACAATGGTGTCTGATAACTTGGCGTCGATATTGATCTTTTATGGTAGTTTAGTACTGTACTTAAGACCTTGCGTCGATTTCTCCAGTCGTTCACACAAGCAGCTTTAAACATTTGAATTGTCTCACAATCTATGATCGATCAAATCATCGGCGTGAATTCACTGGCACGTGTATTTATTTATTATAAATATATGTATTTACACCTGAATATTTATTTCCAAAAAGGTTATTATATTTATTTACAATGATCATTTTTTTAAGTATTGAATCAAGAAGGTCTTTTTGCATATTCGAGTGTTGGCTTCACTACAACAGCGCTGTGCATTCTGGCCCTAAATAGTTTTTCACATCACGAATTTAAATCACTTGCTCTGATTGCTTCTAATCTTTCAACATCGATTTACCGGTCTAACGTTGGGCTCAAAATAATCATTCTCACGATCGCTCTTTCTCTTGTCATCGTATAAGAAGATAAAATTCTGACAACTTTTATAGTTTACCACACTATAGGACAATGTTTACCCAAATCGGTTTCTTGTTAGAAAAATAGTTTTTAATAGGCACAGAATGTAAATTGTCAGCACACGATGAAGTATGTATGTAGAAGGCTACGGAACTAAATGTAAATAAAGTTAATCCGTATTGCACGCATTTGGGTTTTTTTTAACTTGAAACAAACGGAAAACAAGATAATCGGCTTTCACTCGGTGGGTGTCCATAAAGCATAAATAAACGTTCAGCTTCAACACAAAAACGTGAAACGAACTGAGGTAAAAGCTATTAAAAGCTATTGTAATTGGCTGGAAGGCTCAAGGGCCAAGGCTACATATGGATTTGGTTAATGGTATTATCATATTATGATATCGTTCTGCTCGCAACGGACAAATCCACCAATCACAATACGATTTTCATCCAATCGGCAAATTTGAAGTGAATACATATTCCGATATGAAAGCTTGTGATATATGCCTGATCGCCGATCGGACTAGTGTCCGAAGACAATATGAATATGTCACACAAGCTTTCGGATGTATTTACATTGACCCAGTCCGTGCGAGTGTTGCACTTGTTTCACTTCCTGCCTTCATTCCATTGGCACTACTCAGCTGATTCACAATTAATCAACATGGGAAAGAAAGGCAAACGCTCTTCTAAAGAGCCACGCATCAAAACAGGTGAACACTTGCAAGCACCACCGTTGCTGTCCAAGCCACCTTCCACTGGAAATATTTCTACAAGCAATGGCAAGGGCATGGGCAGTAGCAACGACTCGTTAATACCTCAGAATAGTGGAGTGAGTGACATAAGTGATATGGATAGTGACGATGATATCGAGGTGAGCTGCCAGTATAAATATATATATATATATATATATATATATATATGTGTGTGTGTGTGTGTGTATAGTA